CATTGAAAATCCTGCCCAAAGAGAGAAGCCCAGCTTTTGGAAACTGGGGGTTGGGGAGGATGGGGAAGATCTTTCTTGACTGTTCTCACCATCATGTAAAACAAAGTAAACAGATACACTGAAAACACCTGAATCAACTTGTTTTTCATCCCAGTTGCTGGTGTAGGCTCCATCCAGCAGAGCACCAAAGCCAGGGGTGGGCAAACTATGGCCCAGGGGCCGCATCTGACCCTTCAAACATTTTAATCCAGCCCTCGAGCTCCTACCGGAGAGCAGGGTCTGAAGCTTGCCCCGCTCTAGTGCTCCAGTCGGGGACCAGGGTCGGGGGCTTGCCCCGCTCTTTGCTTTCCATGGCTCCACACGGCTCCCGGAAGCAGCAGCACAACCCCCCTCCAGCTCCTACACATACGGGCAGCCAAGGAGCTTGGCACACTACCCCCGCCCCAGTTGCTGCTGCCGCAGCTCCCACTGGTCTGGAACCACAGCCAATGCGGGCTGCAGAGGCGGCGTCTGCGGACAGCGCAGCGTGCAGAGCTGCCTGGTTGCGCCGCCGCGTATGAGCTGGAGGGGGGACATGCCGCTGCTTCTGGGAGCTGCTTGAGGTAAGCACCACCTGGAGCCTGCACCCCGACCCCCTCCAAAGCCCCAACCCCCTGCCCCAGCCCATGTCCCCCTCTTGCCCTCCGAACCCCTTGATCCCAGCCCAGAGCACCCTCCTGCACTCCAAATCCTCATCCCCGGCCCCACCCCAGAGCCCACACCCCCAGACAGAGCCCTCACTGCCCCCTGCATCCCAACCACCTGCCCCAGCCAGAGGCCCCCTCCTGCACCCTGAACCCCTCATTTCTGGCCCACCACAGAGCCTGCACCCCCCCAGCTGGAGCCCTCACCCCCTCCTGCACCCCAACCCTAATTTTGTGAGCATGTATGGCCGGCCGTACAATTTCCATACCCAGATGTGGCCATTGGGACAAAAAGTTTACCCACCCCTGGCCTAAGCACATGCTTAAGTGCATTGCTGAAGAGGGAGACTTAAGTGTGTGCTTAAAGTTATCCCTTCAGGCCAGCTGGGAAAGGCTTGTTTATTACAGAGTGAGTTTCTGGCAAGCAGCTGGCTGCTGCTCTAATGAAGCAATTGAGAGATGCTGATAAAATGTAAGTTAAGAGGGGGTCCTTTTCTTCTGTTGCTGGATAGATTACAGCTAGACAGGCAAAGCCTAAAACAGAGGGATGGAGGAATTGAAAATCAGGGCCAACATGCCTGATTGTTGGCTCCAGCCAAGCTGCACTTGGAACAGCAACTGAATGTAAAGAAGGTTTGTTTGCCCACTTTGCTCCTCCCTCTATGACCCCCCTCCCCAGCATAGGTTAGAAACCCTCAGAACTGCTCTAACATACACTCAGCTGCAACAGCTTCCAAGGGGCTTTCCGACAGCTGAGAATAGCCAGAGTGCAGGAACACTGTGGCCATGCCCCTGTACAGACCTCTCTGAGGGAGTGGTGTAGCCCTGATTCCAGATGGTGTAGAGACAATGTGAGTCCCACTACACTGGGGATGTTCCCTGATGGACAGATATGCCTATTTTACAATCTTTTTGCTATCAAAACAGTGTAAAGAGGCCTGAGTAGAATGGACAATCAGGCCTGAGATATGTCACTAGCCTTCCAGAAACTTGCAACAGTGCCTTCAATGGCACAATGCTGTAGTGTGGACAAGGTTCAATTTTCTAGGTAAGGGTCTCTCAGCAATGCCATATAAACCACAAGTTTAAGGGGTTTATATCTCAACATCAAACCAAAACTTAGCATACTTGGAATGAGACAAGCCTTTAGCTTTCCTGTGCTTTTGCTGGTTCCAATGCAGCCCTGAGAATTATTTAATATCTTTTGTGGTATTGAATAGTAGTAATATTGTAGTCTCATAAACTCTGATACGCCACAGTAAAAGTAACTAGTTAAATGTCCTTGAAAGCGTTATTGTCTTGTTCATTTTAAAAGGCAACTTAATGCAATGACAAATTACATTATAGTTACATGTTTTTGCTGAGCCACCACCTAGAAATTGTCAGAAGAACACAATGGCAGCAACGCTCCAAAACTGGACGAGGACTCTGTGTTCTTTAAGTAGATGTGCAACTTCATAGCACTCGCATTATGAAGCAAGCACTGGCCGCATGAAGTGTGGTCATTTTTCTTCATATCATTTTAAACATACCACCAAAGAGCAATGGTTGCACGGAAAGTGATTTAGTGAGAAGTGTAGCTGTAGCTATGAAGTGTCACATTGCTTTACAAATAATTTCCGGATTTTTTTCTGGCATATAATGTCATGAAATAGAATATCATTCTAATACCTCCAAGGTATAGTACTGCTTTAAATCACTGTGTATAATATTGCTTAAATGAGATACAAGTCCTTTTACATGTAGAGAACTTAAGGAGCTTGGCTTGTTTAGCCTAACCAAACAAAGGCTGAGGGGAGATATGATTGCTCTCTATAAATACATCAAAGGGATAATATCAGGGAGGGAAAGGAGTTATTTAAGTTAAGTGCTAATGCTAAGACAAGAACAAATGGATTTAAACTGGCCATCAACACGTTTAGGCTTGAAATTAGACCAAAGTTTCCACTCAAGGGAGGAGTGAAGATCCGGAATAGCCTTTCAAGGGGAGCAGTGGGAGGCAAAAAACCTAACTTGTTTCATCACTGAGCTTGATAAATTTATAGAAGGGATGGTAATGATGAAATTGCCTAAAATAGCATGTTGCCCATCAGCAATTGCTTGCAGCAAAAATCCCCAAGAGCCTGAGATGGGGAACTAGATGGGGAGGGCTCTGAGTTAGTAAAACTTCTGTTAAACTTTGAAATACCTTAACTTTTTAATTTTAAGAATAACTGGAATGTACTAACATCAAGAAATTGAACTGTGCACCAACATTGGTTGGACCAGTATTAAATAGTGTTATAGTAGGTGACAGCCTTAGAATGTTAACCCTACATTTTTCTGGTTCAGATATTTTCCCATCAAATTTACCCCTTGTTGCAAACTAGATTGCAATTAAGCTTTTTGCTTACTGATCTCCCAGGCTTCTTTGGGACATCTTTTATTTTCTACAGGGGAAAACAGACAGTATTAGGGAGAGCAAAAGTCGATGTTCGGTGTTAAGCATGGCAAAAGTAGTAACAGTATTTCTTTTATATTGTTGCGTAGATAGGAGTTCAATATATCTCTCTCGTGTCTCAGTAAATATGTCCTTAATCAGTTGCTACTTACACTCTTCAAGTCTTAAAACACAAGTACACTTTCACAATTACAGAATAAAACAAGGCTCACAATATCACAGCTGGGCTCTCCCTTCAATTCAGTTCATTCTCATATCTCACTAACTGGCTGGCCATGTCCTGCCCTTATATAACCGTTAGACTGACATTTTAGGAGGTTTGAGGAAAATGTAGTTCTCAGAAAGTCTGGAAGGTTCCATGAGATTCTACAAAGGTCCAGAACATTCTAGGAAGTTAGTGAAAAATGAATCCACATACAGAATACCTGAAACATTTTACTTCAAACGTTCTATTTTCCCTTTTGTTGTTAACACCAAAAACAGCAACCCCCCCTGCCCCCCCAAGCCCAGCACCCAGAGCGCCTGGGTCACCTGTCCCTAAATCCCGCCCTGCTGCTGTTAATGACTAAAGAGCAGTTGAATGTTACTCTGAAAAAATGACTGCATAAAACTTGTTATTCAACAGATCTAGCCTTGTGCTTATTGTCCCACCTGCTGATTTTAGTGACAAAACTAACTTTTTTTACTGCTTTTCTTATGACTGTTCGCCTTGCAGGCTCAACGCTACTATGACTGATTAAGCTGTAGATTCTGTTCCAGCTTGTGTATCTTCAACAAATACAGTCTGGTCTACAAAACTAGGGATGATGTAGGAGATGGAAAGAGCCCTGCTTAGCTCTGGGAGCCCACGCTGCATTTGCAGGTCTGACAATTAAACTAAAACAATCATTTTATTTGTAAATGGGATACATTTCATCTGGAGTCACTTAGAGCAACCTTTCCAGACTACTGTACCCCTTTCAGGAGTCTGATTTGTCTTGTGTACCCTAAATTTCATCTCACTTTAAAAATATGTGTTTACAAAACAGACATAGAAATACAACAGTGTCACAGCACACTATTACTGAAAAATGGCTTACATTCTCATTTTTACCATATAATTATAAAAGAAATCAACTGAACTCTAAATATTGTACTTACATTTCACTGCATAGCATACAGAAAAGCATAAACGAGTCATTGTATGAAAATTTAGTTTGAACTCACTTCACTAGTGCTTTTTATGTAGCCTGGTGTAAAATGAGGCAAATTTCTAGATGAGTTGATGTACCCCTTGTAAGATCATTGGGTCCCCTAAGGGACATGTACCCCTCGTTGAGAACCACTGAGTTATAGGAGGAGGAGCCCTGCACTTGACAAAGAGGATTAACGCAATTTCAAGGAACTTTACCTAGCAGGGATTATAATCTGCTCGGGGTTGCCTTGGGGACATTCATATTGTGAATATGACAAGAGGGTTTCTTTCTGGGCTAACAAGCTGAAGTTCAGCCCTAAGGGAGAGCAGCTGCAGCGGAGGGTGCATCGCCCCTGGGAGCCGCACGGGGTCGCGCAAACCCCGCTACGGGGCCCGCGGAGCGCTTTCCCCGAGGCGGAGCCCCTGCTACACAACCGAGAGAGCCGCCCCTGCCCTGGGAACCGGCCCGGGGCTGAGCTCCTCCCGCGGCGGGGGGTCGCGTCCGCAGCGGGGCGGGAGAAGCAGCCCCGGGCAGGCGGCGCGCGGCGGCCATTCAGCGCACGCGCATTGTGATGCACTGTCCGTGTTCCACGCGCAGGCCCCGGCCCGCGCGGGGCGAGGGAAGCGGCAGCGGCAGCGGTGGCCGCGGCGACTCGGGCTGCAGTCGCTCCCAGCCCCCGCCCCGGGCCTTGATAAGCGCGGGGAGAGAGGCGCTGCTCCCTGCCCGCCTGTAGCCAGCCGCCCCGCCCCCGCGGTGCTCCGAGACGCGCTGAGTGCCGCCGCCGGGCGGCCCGAGGCCCTGCCCGCCCCTGGGGTTGTTGGTTGAGGGGCTGCCTGGCAAGGCCCCCCTGCCCCGCGGAGCCTACAGCACAGACCGGCTCAGGGGAGCTACTTCCCGGCCCCGGGCGCCGCCGCCGCCTCCCCGCCGGGGGGCTGTTCTGAGGAGCCTGCCTGGGTCTCTCCGGCCCAGGGCACGAGGAATGGCGAGCGGCCGGCCAGCGAGGCGGGCCTGTGGCGTCGCTCAGCGCACGGCGGGGCTGGCTCGGGAAGTCCTGGAACGGGCTAAGCGGCGGAAAGTGAGCTGGCCGGAGCCTGTGGTCAGTGTCTGGAAACGGCGATTCCTCCCCGCCTGGCTTTTACTAACGAACCCCTAGGACCAGTCAGGGCGGCTCTCCCTCGTGCTCCGGGAAGAGTCCAGGAGTCGTTAGTCCGGTGCTAGTCTTAGGCGTGAGTAGCCACGTAAGTGTGGAGGGTGGCGGCCTCTTCTGATTTACACAGGGCAGTTATGGATTTGGGGGATGCTGCCTCCCCCTCCCCCCCGAAGGCCTGCTTGCTGAACCAAACAAATCCAGACTTTATGTGGCTAGAAGAACCTCAGATTCTCTTCTCTGACTCTGTCGTGTCAGGTCTGTAACAATGCATTGATGACACTGCTTGTGGACGACAGGGCTGTAACAATGCCACAGTGGAAAACTGGCCTTATTTTGGCCAGCTAAAAATACTTTTTAAAGGTGGCAACCTTCCACAACCAACTTATCCTTGTATGCTTTCTCTAGTGCCCATCCCTCTTGTTTCTGCCACTCTGCCAGAGAATTTCAGTCCATTCTCGCTGCTTAGGCAAGAGTGGAGATGGGGGATTAAGTTAGGGGTCAGGGGAAGCTGAGAGAGCCCTATATGTCTTGGCAGATAGCTCTTGCAAAACATAGAGCTGGCCCTGAGTTCCACATATGCCATGATAAGTAGACCCTACCACTAGTCCTTTATGTTTGCACATCTGTTGAATAGCATTTTTGCTTAATATAGTTCTGCAGTCTTTCTGTATTAATAATAGCTAAATTTAATATATGTATAAACACTTGGCACATACAATTGCCTTTTTATCTTCAAAGCATTTTGGGGATCTAAAATATGCAGTTGTTGTATATGACAATGTAACACACCTGGCCATATTAAGTAATTTGCAAGATGATTTGAAAAATAAAGTGAGCAGTTGAGCCTTTGTTGACGGGAAAAAGGTCCACTGTTAAGTGTTATATTCTGGTAAAAAACACTGAGCTTTAAGTAAGGGCACCATTTGAATTATATAGAGGGTCCCATAGCTTTTAAGAATAAATATTGTAAGGAGTCAGTGCAGGTTGACTAAAGATAGGATTTTCAAAAGCACCTAAGTGACTTGAGAGCACAAGTCTCTTTAAAATCTCACCCTGTGTTCCTTTGGGTATTTAGATGATTTGCTCAGCACGCACAAATCATGTTTATCTCCATCACCATAAACTCCCTCCAGAGTAATGCAGGCTAACTTGCCTGCAGCACAATAATGCTTTAAGTAGCCAAATCCCAGTCTTGCACAGTGGTGTTAGCTCCCAAAAAATCCCCCTGAAATTTCAATTTTGAAAGACTTTGTTTAGTTCCTGCCTGAAATTGTGTGCTGTTAAACAGCTGTCACATCTAGCCCTGCAGGTATCTGCATTTTAGTGATGGATGAATTGGTGCCAAGATATTACAGTAATTTATACTTCAGTTTATTAACTATGGCTTTCATTTTTTAAATATGAAAAATACTTTAAACAGTGTTCTCAAACTAAACATTTACTGGTGCTTGGTACTTTTTAGGTCGTGTTTAATTTATAGTGATAGAGAATTGTATAACACCTTACAGGTAAGGAGACTGGGCCCTTCCCTGAATAATTTAAATAAATTTTCTGTGCCTATCTGCAGACACTTAAATTGGAATAAGGTGGTACGTTCTTTATTGCTCACGCAGGGAGTGATTATGCTCTGCTGAAACTCATTCAACATGGTCACTGAGTTGACTCCCCTAGATTTTCTGCCATGTGGACTTGAATCAGGCTGGTGTGTAAATTGCAAAATAAATATAAGACAGAGGATTGCAAAAGCATCGCCGCTCGACTTGCTGACTGAGTATTGCCCCAAGTCAAGACAGTGCTAACCTTTAGCTTTGAAGGTGACATGTTAACTGCAATTGTTCAAATATTGTAGACCCTTTAAAATGGAGGCAAATTGAATGTAATAGATTTATTCTGAGAAAGCTGTAAGGTAAAGAAGGATTGAAAATACCAGTGAATATAAACTAATTCATGTGAACCTCAGTGTCAGAGAAATGTTATATCTAAGGCTGGTCTGTACTGAGAACTTACATTGGTATAGCTGCGTCTCTCAGGGATGTGAAAAGTCCTTACCCTGAGAGACATAGCAATGCCGACCTAGTCCCGTGAGTAGATGGAATTCTTCCATCAACCTGTCTTTCCATTGACCTAGCTCCTGTCTCTTGGAGGGGAAAGGGAGAACCTCTCCCATTGTTGTAGTGAGTGTCTATGCTGAAGCACTACAGCTGCAGTGTTTTAAATATAGACATATCCTTAATGATTGTATCCCATGTCCCATAAGGGCCTATCATATGAATGTGCAGGACTTAGACATGTACAGTGTTTACATTTTAATTAGCTATAACACATGAGGACACTTGAATATCCCTTAGTACAATGTCAAGCTTGGTTACCTTTCCATTTGGTAAACAGTCAAAGCCAACATGAAATCTTCAAGGCTGCTTAACACATAAATTAGTATCTAACTCGGTGCTTTGAGAGAGACTGAGGTCAGGTAATTGTTTCACATAGTGTAGCAGTGGGTTGACTGGATGTAATCCTACAGTAAAGGTCTTTGTTGCCTCTGATGTATGTTACCAAGGATAGAGTAAAGCCAGCGTGGCATAGTTTTTAATTGGCTACGTAACACACAGTATTAGGCTACAGATGGTTCAGTTTCACCATGGAGAAAACTGTCAGAACTCATCAGCATTTTGTTATGTAAGCTACTAGCATCGCTGCAGTAATGTCCAAGGGGACTGGCTTTATGAATTAAACGAACAAGGCATAAGCTGCAGAGGCACCTCGGCAGGTTTTTGCTTTGAAACAAATAACATGACATAATGACTTACACACGTGTGTTTAATCACAGGAAGAAGATTCTGAACGTCTCAATGCAGCATTTGCTTCAATAGTGGAGTTCATGAGTCGAACCACAAAGGAGTGTGAGGTAAATTTTATGCGAGGAGGGATGGGGGGAAATATTCTAATGTTGTGCCTGTTAGTGGCTCAGTTCCATTGCTGTTAGGGAAAACTAGGAATGAATTAAAGATTCAGAGCAACCTCACAAGTTGACCAATAAGAGCTTTGGTAGTGGCTTCTAGGGCCCTGTCTAAAACAAGAAATCTTGGGACATCTCCCACCCTCACCATGCTACCTGTGTGAGAGCAAATTTAGACTGATGATTAGCATTTTTACCACTGTCTTTTAAACCTGCTCTGCATTGGGTTAGATAATATGCTGGTATATACACCACCACCTAGCCTGTACTTACATTCCCATGGTTACTAGCATCAGTGGAATTATAATGGAGTCACAGCCTAAGGCGGCTGCCCATTTCTTCCTCTCAGCTGGAAGAAAAGTTTGATTATGGGGTAGTGATGGACAGAAAGAGAAACTTCAAATGGAGGAGCTATCCATTGCATAAATCTTATCTGTACTAGATAAAACTTGCTAAACGCTATTTACCCTTGTGAACTGCCCATGCATCTATACACACAATTGCTTCCAATGGTACACAGACATTCACACCACTGAAGTAGTTTTGTTTTGGACAGCACCTGTCAAGGCTGAATTCCCACTCTGTCACTCCAAGTGCAGAAAGTGGGGGCTTGCAAGGATTCTAAAAATTAATACTTGCCACTCCAGGCTTGTATTACTCTCCCAAGGTTACAGTTTCTCTCTGACCTTGGCTTGGTAAACGCTGTCACCAACCAGATGAAAAAAAAAACCCCTTTGAACCCAGGAAGGAGCACTTGGGAATTCCTCCTGTGGGATACCCTCAAGCAAGCGCACGCGCACACACACACCTCTCTCTCCCTACCTCTCCAGGGAAGAGCTGAGAGAAAATAAAGGAAATTAGCTGTGTTTACCAGCTAATCAAACAACATGCACAAACCTCTAGGACACCAAAAATCCAATCCTGGTCTTAAAAAAGGTAAATGTTGTTAAAAACGAAAAGGAAAAAAATACATCTGTAACTTAGGCTTTTTACTAGATCTTAAACAATTCCAAAAATTTAAGCACCCAAATAGCTTTCTTGGGGGTTCAGCTTAAAGGTTACAAGCAAACAAAAGCAACTGGGGTTAGCACACAGGAGATCCACAAGCCAAAATAAGAAATAAACCTGATAGCATCTAACTAAATGTTCCCTATTAAAATTATTTCTTCTAGGTATGGAGGATACTTTTTCATACCTGGTTCAAACCTCACACAGCATTTCTGCTTGTAACATTGTGTCCCTGCAGCCAAGAAAACAGACAAAGGGAAAGTTTTTCCCAATTTTAAATTGTTCTACCTTCCCGTTGGCTTTTTTGGTCAGGTGCCCACTCCCTTTTTTTTTTTTTTTTAACCTGTGGGCTTGTTAACCCTTTACAGGTAAAGCAAGCAGAGAACAGACCAAGAGGGATTTTACAGCTAACTGGCTGTCTGGATGTCCATTAAAGGGAGTTACTCCCCACCCCCACCCTCTGCCCCCTTCATGTATCACAGCACCTTTTATAATTTCTAAGCATTTGTGTAAACACTAGTCAACCATCAAGCAGGACAGGAAGTTCTCTGTATTACAAAAGAGGAAGCTGGGCAAGAGCCTAAATCTTGCTGCATCTCAATGGAATCAGTAGCAGAGCTGGGATGGGAATTTGTGTCATTGGCTTCCACCCTTCATGCTCAGTCCACTAGACCATGCTGTCTAATATACTCTCCAAGATCATAATTTTGGGAGGGGGGATTCTCTTACACACATTGAAAATCTGACCCTAGAATTTATGGGTAAGTGTAATTGAAAATCAGTGGAACTTGGGTTCCTAAGTTACTAACTCACTTCTGAAAATGGGTCTTAGGGAGCTAAATCATTTAAGCACTTTTGGAAAATTTTACCACATGTCAAAAGTTTTGCTGACTTTTGTGATGCAGTGATATGTAACATATTATCCATTATGTCAGTGTAGCTGTTCTTCTATTTTTATGGAATTTTGGGCACCCATACAATGTAAACAAAAAAATTAAACTAACCAATTGCCAAATATAAACTCCTTCCATTTGTAACCTCAAGGAGTAAAGCAAGGGAGTGGAATTGGAAACAAAAATGTCTACTGGCCACATGTCTGATCAGATGGAGGAAATAAGTAAAATGGAACTTTCTACTTTTGCAGCTAGGAACCCAAAAGAACAAATCTACACATGCATATTTCATGTGTTTTGTTTGAGTGGGAACAGCAGATGGCAGTAGAGTCATTCTCAAGTACTTTGAAGGGGTTGGTTTCAAGTCACTTGATGCTTCAGGGTATAGTCCCCTTTCTAACATGGGAACAGATCAGCTGATTTAATTCAAAAGGTCAACAGTGGTGGGTTTCCATTCTTTAGTTTTTAACTGTGAAAGAAGGGATTTCTTAGGTGTGGTTGTGAGGTTTGGCTATGTAAACCTCTTTGCTTTAACTGTCTTCCAGAAATATTATAGCTACGTGCCAGCAAGTAGATGCCAAGAGAATGAAATTAAACACATCTGCAGATATCACAGCAGACATGCAGCAGAAAACTTGTTACAGACATTGGAACAAGGGGTAAGTGTACTGCTCATGTTTAATTTAATTCTTTTCCTCATCCAAGACATGGAGATGTCTGCATAATGTTCACGGGATCTCCCTGTGTCTGCTTCTTCTCCAGGCCCTTTTGTCACACTAATCTGAGTTTCAGTTCAAGTGTTCAGATACTATAGTAATGAGTGCCAATATAAGAATCTGAGCAGAGGTTGGCAACCTTTCAGAAGTGGTGTGCCCAGTCTTCATTTATTCACTGTAATTCAAGGTTTCGTGTGCCAGTAATACATTTTAACTTTTTTAGAAGGTCTCTATATAACTAAACTATTGTTGTATGTAAAGTAAATAAGGTTTTTACAATGTTTAAGAAGCTTCATTTAAAATTAAATGAAAAAATGCAGATCTTATCAGTTTAGTGTGATCCTTGCCCTTGCTTTTCCTTGCTGAGTTTTCCAATGTCTGGCCTACATTTGGATACTTTAAGCTGGACACAGGCTTCTGAGTGATCAGTTGTTAACTGGCCCCGAGAGGGACAGAGGACAGATTTCATGTGTGAAAATACCTGTTCACACAGGTATGTGGATCCAAATGCTGAAAGCATTGCAAACGCAATTTTCTTCAAACAGTTAAATTTCACTGGCAGGGACGTCCAACAGGTCAGAATAGAGGCCCCATGCTCTCTCTTGGTAGCTTTAAGTGCAGATCTCCAAACTTTGATGTCCACAATTCTGAGCTTTTTAACTGAATGAGCTGCATTTCGAAATCTTCAACACTCATCCACTGAAATACAGACAAATCCAAGTTGCTTTCGTTGAACTTTTCAGGTTTAATTAGAAAAGAAAGCATTGGGCCAAATAGTTGAAAATCTTGAAATCTGTCAGAAAATTCTGATTCCAGTTCTTGCATGTACATTGCAATCTCAGTGACACTGACGGTGCAACACGCCGATAGCTCTTTTACGTGTTGGAAGTAGCAGAAAGTCGAAGTTCAAATATCCCGAGAAAAAACTGCTAGTTTTACTACAAATGCCTTCCAGGGTTCATAAAGATCTAGAAACATTTGCCCTGCGCCGTGGAGACAGGGGTTGAGCTTGTTTAGGTGAGCGGTGATGTCAGTTAGAAATATGAGCTTACACAGCCATTTGTCATCATCCAGTTCGGGGTAGTTTTGTTCTTTTTCCGACAAAAAGGCCTTGATTGCTTCAAAACCGTTTACAAAGCACACCACAATTTTGCCATGACTTAGCCTCCAAATGTTGCTGTGAATTGGAATATTGTTATAAGCATGGTTCATCTCTTCTAGCAGTGCTTGAAACTGTCAGAGTCAAAGCAGATCGAGCAACAAGGAAATGCACAATTCTCACCACTGTATTAATCACATTATTGACTCTGAATTAGAAATTTTAGCATACAGGTTTTCTTGATGGATGATACAGTGAAATTTGACTGTCAGGCGGCCAATTTGATCTTCAAGTAACTTTACAAATCCCTTCTGTTTTCCGACCCTAGCAGGAGCACCATCTGTTGTCACACAAAATATTTTTCTGATGTCAATTCCTCGTTCTTCAAAATGGTTTACTAAACTTTCCACTGTATCTTCCCCCTTTGTGGTGCCATGCAGGGGTTTTGGGCAAGAAAGTTCCTCTTGGATTTCATTGGAGACACAATATCTTGCAACAACTGCCAAACATGGAACGTTGTTTATATCCACGTTCTCATCAACTGCAACGCTAAACACTGCTGTGTCTTTTAATGCTGTCGTCTGCTTTTCGTTAATGTTTTCTGCTGTTTCGCTTGTGTCTCTCAACTGTTCTGGCAGAGACAGGCAGTTTTTCTATTAAAGATACGATCGTATCTTTATTTGGCAAATCAGTGAACAAAGCCTCTGAACTGCTGAAAAAAATTTTATATATTCCCCATCTGTAAATGGCTTTCCGTTTTTTTGCAGTGCACTGTGCAATCTTGTAACTTTCTTCTGTAGCTTGATATTTTACTTACACTTAAGCATTTTAAAAACACTGCTATGCTTCTCATATCCTGCTATTGCCTTTTTGATCAATTCAGTCTTGTCTGCTTAGTCAAGAAAGGTTTTCTCGTGCTTCGTTTCAAAATGTCGAACACTTGATGTGCAACAAACGCTTTCACAACAGAAAGCGCAAACAGCATGGTCCTTTTTTGGAATAAATCCAAATGTGTCTGTCCAAAAAGGCTGAAATGATCTAACTTTGCTTTCTTAGGACCTGACATTTTGTCAAATGTACCCCTCAACTCACAGTGGGGGGGGAAAAATCGCGACAGACTGAACGCACAATGTCAAACGCAGTGCGCTGTTCCACATAGCATGGTGTAAGCAGCAAATCAGGACTTAAAAATATCCCAGTGGCACTGGAACAATTTTGAAGGGGGGGGCCGAGCTGCACCCCCTCTTGCCCCTGTCTGTACCCCTCATTTCCCCAGACTGGGGCCAGTAGGTCACAGCTAGGGGCAGCTGCAGAGCACCAGGCCGAGGCCAGCGGCTCGTACCCCGGGCCAGCAGCAGGCTGAGCAGGGCCGGCAGACGGGACCTCAGCTGGCAGGGGGCCGGCGGACGGAACCCCAGGCTGGCAGCAGAGTGCTACTGAAAATATTGAAGGTTACCCATGTGTGGAGTTTTGGATGGATGTAAAATTTGTGAGGAATTGTGAGTGGATGATTAAATTGTTCTAGGCGTTCTAACTTACACCAGGAGTAACAGTCCAGCCGTTCTTCAGCCCCACCTTGTACTTCTGGCATCTTTCCTGTACTGGAGCAAAGCCAGGCAAGTGTAACTTTTGAGCCAGCTGTGCTGCCTGAGTGGTGCAAAGGGACCATATCGAAGCCAAGGATCTGGCCTAGAAAATTCTATTGTGGGAGGAGGTCACATGTTTCAGAATTCTCTTTAAAGATGTTAACTACTGAACACACTATCTGCTGCAACCGTGGAAAGTTAATTTTGGTTGTGGGCATCAGTCATTGCACTGACTTGGTGGAGAAGTATAATTCTGACCCAGTAGGCTTAATGGTCAGTGGGAAGGAGAGAAATACTTTACATTTCCCAAAGGCTAATTTGCTGAGGCAGTTTTAGGAACCAGGTGGTTTGGCTTCTGGGCCACAGAAAATGAGAAATATGGAATCTTTATCATAACCCCAAACAATTCTTTTTCTACTAAATTTGTGGTGTTATCCATATTTGTTATGTTTGTTTTGACAACCTATTTTTCACAGTGTTAGAGGATAGCTAATTAGCACATTATTTCTACCTAAGTATTCTTTAAAAAAAGACGAAAGGATTCGAATATGGCAATTTTTTACAATCACAGCTTGCTAATTTTTGTATTGGACAGAAAAATTTTGCTACCATTAACATCCGTCCTACCAATGTATTTTTGAAAAATGTCAGTATATTAGTTGAACTGTAACTCTATAAACTAAATTCCATTTCTGTCTAGGTAAGACAACCAAACAGTATTACTTACCATTTATTTTTTTTCCCCTTTCAGGGTAGAAAGACTTCCAAAGATCTCTACATTGAAGTCTCCCCTGGCACCTATTCTGTCACAGCGACCTCAGAGGATATGGTGAAAGACACACATGTGGTGGATGTTAATGCAGGACAAAGTATTGATTTAACTTTCAGTATATGATGATCGCTCTCTCTCAGCAATCATAGGAATAAAACAATACTAAGGTATCCTAATGAATTAATATAACAAGCTATGCAGATCTGTTTCTCTTTAGCACTTTAACAACTTCCTTTCTCTGGGCTTCTTCTGTTTTACTCACTTTGTCTACTTATTGTGCACTCAGTGCTATTATAGTCCATTGTGTACACGGACATTATGAATGTTTGTATAAATATGCCTTAATTGAAATTATGTGACATGTATCACCCAGAGTTTGGGGTTATTTTTAAGTCAAGCAATCAGTGGAATAAAGGATTAAAAATTAATCTTTGAGATGAATTTTTTTTATTTTTTTTTAAATTAGGAACTAAAGTCATGCAAGTTATATTTATAATTACTTGAATATGAAAAGCCCAATCCTCAACTGGTATAAATCAGTGTAGCTCCATTGAAGTTCATGCCCATTTACAGCAGGTGAGGATCTGGCTACAGTGTGCCATGTAGAGTACTGTAGTTAACTGGTCATACTGGTGTGAATGAAGAAACTGGAGCTGTAATTCAAGCTAAAATGTGCACACGGTTGCAATTAAAAAAAAAAATCCCAGTTATTGCTACATAAATGCAAGTTTCGGCAGTATTGTTCGGTTTCACTTTCATTAAGCCAAATCCCACTTGAGCAAAACATGTACACACATGCTTAACTCCCACTTAAGTTCATTATCTTTAAGGCCCTGATTCAGCCAGGCATTTCAACATGTGTCTAATTTAAGAACATGAGTAATCCCACTGAAGTCGATGGGACTTCTCATGGGCTTAGGTAGCTTGCTGAATGGGCACCTGGGAATAAAATGGATGTCGTGTTTTAGTATCCATATGCAAACTTTTACTTTTGTTGTTTGTATCTCCTTTGTTCTGTGCTGTTTGGTTACTTTCCCTTCTGTTTTTCATCTTGAAAGATCTTTTCTGCCATTAACTTGTACTGGGTCTCCACTCTTCTCCTTCGGGCTTCCTACAAGAGAGAAACCATCATGCTGAAATCCCTCTCACAGACTTTTTGAAACCATGAGAACAAACGAGAGGCTTATTAAAACCTTGCTCTCTCAATTTCCAATTGTTCAGGTTTTCTGTACTATTACTTGTTCTTCCTCTGTCCCCAAGAGTGTTGGTTTCTAGTCCAGCACAGTGGACTAGAATGGAACTTAATATGGAAAGACACACATCCTCTGGACAGGACTGTGAATTTCCATCTAAATGGAATTGATTTTAATCGGTTAAGGTGGTGTTATCCATAAAGCTATTCTGGCTACCTACAGCTTTTGTTCATTTAACAGAGAGTTGAAGGTCATTAGAGCAGAGAGCTTGATGATGAGGGCACACTTTATTCATTGTATAAAAATAACCCTGTATAGATGGGTAGTTTACCTGAGATTGTTTCTTTTTAATTTCTTCAGCTATACACTTATTAAATTCCCTCTGATCATGTGTCTTTTTGACTTGTTGCAGATGAGCTAGTCTTTGCTGTCCTTTCTGCCTGTCGTCCTCTGCCATAGTCTGCATTTTCAGGTTTGTCCTCTGCTGTGTGAGTTGCTTTGTTTTCATTGTCTGATTCTGCTTTATATCTTGTTCTTTTACCTTCTTATCTTCATTCTCAAAATGCTGCAGCAGCTTTTTCCTGGAGAAGAAAAACCCAGTGAGTTAAGCATTTTTCTGAAAAGATTGTGTTTTTTGTCTGCTCTTCTCTTATCCTCAAAATAAATACACCTGCCTGGTGTAGCTTTCTCAGTGGAAGCAGTTTTACAGGTACATAAACTCTTCAATGGAATAGAAATGTTTAAAAATAAACCTTAGGATAGAGTTTCAGAAGCACTCAGTGGGACTTTCACTGTTCACATCTGTGGGAGCAAAGATAGGATAAAGCTAAGCACTTTTGAAAACCCACCCTGAAGTTTTAGTTGGCTCTTAACTAAACTTGTATGTTTGTAAAGGATATGGTCAAGTAGTTTAAGGCTCCATCTAGAGCAGAGGTGGGCAAACTATGGGCCGCAGGCCACATCCGGCCCATGGGACTGTCCTGCTTGGCCCCTGAGCTCCTGGCCTTGGAGGCTAGCTCCCAGCTCCTCCCCCACTGCCCCTCCTCCCCCGCAGCTGGTGCAATGCTCTGCGTGGTGTGGCTGCAGAGCCCGGCCTGACCCAGTGCTCTGTTCTGCACGGCATAGCTGCCTCTCCTGGTGCAACCATGCTGCCAGCCACTGATGCTCCAGGTAGCGCGGTAAGAGAGCAGGGGGGGTTGGTTAGAGGGCAAGGGAGTCTGGGGTGGGGGTGTGGATAGGGTCAGGGCAGTCAGAGGGTGGGGAATGGGGTTGAATGGGGGCAGGGGTCCCAGGGGGGCAGTCAAGAATGAGAGGAGGAGTTGGATGGAGCAGTGGGGGACAGTCAGGGGACTGAGAGCAGGGGTGGTGGATGGGGCAGGGGTCCCTGGGGGGAGGTCAGGAAGGGGGGTTTGGATGGGGCGGTTGGGGGTAGTAGTTAGGGGTGGGGGGTCTGGGGGCAGGTAGGGGACCAAGAGCAGGGGTCCCTGGGGGGGCGGACAGGGAACAGGGGGTTGGATGGGGCAGGAGTCCCCAGGGGACAGTCGGATAGGGGCCTGGGGCTGGGGCCAGGCCCTGCTTGGCTGTTTGGGGAGGCACAGCCCTCCATACAATTTCAGAAACCCGGTGCAGCCCTCAGGCCAAAAAGTTTGCCTGTCCCTGATCTAGAGTACAAGATAGAACTTGTGCTTTAACTGTGTTTAGGGACAGTCACATTGTAATTTGGTCTCACAAAATTACTTGAACTGGGCCTATGTCTTTTGGGGAATGTCATATTGAGTCAACCCTTTAAATCTTTAATCAATCAGAGAAGGAATGTCCCTTGTGTTTCTTCCACCAGTTCTGCAGGGAACAGGATGGCCAGCCACAGATGCAACTCAGTCTCTTCATTTAGTTTTTTTTATAGTCTTTACAAACATACAGGGCCCAACCCTGCAGTCCTCCCACATGCAAAACTATTGACTTCAGTAAAAATTATGCATTACATAGGGGTTTGTGTTAAAGCCCTGTCCATCAGGATATGACTGCTTAGTCATTTATTCCAAAACTGGTAGAAACAAATATCTGACATAACCTACCCATTAACCATTAATGTACAGAATGCCTGAAGTTTTGTACTTGTTTCAAAGAAGCCTATGAACAGTGGTTTCCTAAGAAAGGTATAAATCAGTTACAACAGAGCACAATGTGGACATTTATTGATAATTTAAACTAGACACTCATTCTGCTGAAATTACTATGCATATTTTCTATTAGGAGTTCTTCATATAAGTTTAGTGTGCACAATGCTTTACTCTGTGGTCAAAGTCCATTGAACCAAAAGAGGGAAGATGCAGAGTAGCTAATACTTGACCTGTGTGATGTACCTCCGGTGTTCCTGTGCAGTGTAGTATTTCTCTTCAGCCTGCTGTTCTCTTTCATGCTCCACACGTCTGCTGCCAGAATTTTTTCTTTCTTTTTTGTTCCATGCAGGCTTTTCTTTGGCGTTCACGTTCTATTTGATTTTCTCCAAGTTTCTCTAAACAAGGAGTGGCCTGCGGCTGGGAGAAATTAAGCATGAAAACTAGGACTTTAGTCCTCTTTCCTTTGACTTGGTTTATGCATTTTGTATCCTCTCATTGAACTCTAGAGCAGTATTCAGCAGAGACTGATTTCTAGAAAAATACCCACACGCATCAGGCTTTGGGGCAATACAAAATGCCCTCGATGGAGTGAGCCTGGTGCAGAGCTGTGTAGATAGAAGGAAGGAGAGCTCTTTGCTTGGATTCTATTACTCCTGAATTTCAGAGCCATCCATTCCCAGGATCAAGCATTCTATAGGAGTTGTTTACCTTCCTAAAGCTGTAATCTAGCTCCCATGACTTCAGTGAGCATTGAATCAGTCTCCAAGGTTACAAGCACCATTGAATCACCATTGAGTTACATGCCAAGTTTTAGTTTTGGGGTTTTTTTTAAACTGAGTAAGATGGCTTCAGATCCTGCCCAGCTGCATCTTGAATTAGAAGAGGAGCTCTCGCGCAAAAACAGAGATGGGGTGGGGGAGGGGTTAGTAGGCAACAGGGTAACCTTAGGGCCATTTGCTTCTGCAGCTAATATCCAGAACATCATCATCTTCAATTTAAAGAACCAATGTACCTAATGATAATACTGTTTCACCATAGATTACTTACCCCCAGTGATGGCTTGAAATCATGGTGGATTAAGACATCTTTCAGTGTGAAATGTTTTTTCTGAGACTGCTCAATAGTTTCAAACATTGCACTCTGGTTGGTTGGTGCAACAGGGTACATGTCCAAGCAGAAAATGGCTCTGGATTCTGCTTTCCCCTTTGTACACTTGCTGCTGGGAATGCTGATTCCTGGGGATATAGATACTATATTTAATGTGCATAATCTTACTTTTACATTAAAGATAAAAAATGGTAATCATTTGGAAGGGAAAGTGCAATTTTAACCTAAAAGGAACTCTTGTAGGTTCACGATTTCTGGTTCTGGATATCAGTTACTAAAGTAAAAGTTAACTGTGTGGGTGGCATCATGAAAAATGTGGGAAGAGTGGGGGGGGGGGGGGAAGATTAGGAATTTAGAGTTGTGTGTGTGTTCCTGAATCTGATTCCATTTTTGCTGATTCCATTTTTCCACTGGATAAAGTACTGAAAGAGGAGCCCTTACATGTGATGAAGAAGGCAAAACCTGGTGCAGATCTTGCATTTATAGAAATTAATTAAAAGGATTTTTAACTGATGCCTGATTTAGGCCCCAGTACAAAGTTTTGTTTTGCTTTTCAAAAAGGGGAGTGGGGCTACAAAATAACATTTTTATGAATTTCAGATTTATGAATTTATTTAACCTATTTTAAATTCTAGGTAGTAGTTAAAGGATAAATGACATATTGATGGTCAGATTTTTTTTCTGCTTTCTATGCATCATACATACGATTTGTCTACCAATGTTGAAATAAGGTAAGTTTAGACATTTACAAGTACATCTGTGTCACTGCTAGCAGAGATATAGACCCACATTCAAGTCTAACACTGAATGAGATACAGTGCCAGACTGAAGAGGGTCATAGAACGCTTTCAGTGAAGAAGCACCTGTTGACAAATAACTAAGGAAAGAGATGAAATATACCTGGATTCCTAGGATGTGACTTGGGGTGGCTTCTCTTCCAATACTTCCACTCAGGTCTTGCAGCATCTTTCAGTTTGGGCTTTTCAGAAAGACTGGAATCTGTATAAATAGCACTATCCACCATCGTGCTCTTAGTTAGGCACATCTCCTCCTCACTTTCTAAATCAGAAGGGGAAGAGGAGGAGGAAGAAGCAGCAGCAGCTGCTGGTTCATTTTCCTTTGGACTTTCCAATTCTAGAAGTTGTGCCGTGGGTTTGTTATTGGACTCTTGCGGTTTAGTGCCTCTTTGAGAGACCAAAGATGTGGATAGTAGAGGCCACCAGGCATTGAATTTGGGATGGGAGCAGCTGATACATCCCACATGGACTGGTGAACAGCATACACTGTGACAGTGACCATGAAAGGGGGGGCAGATTAATGGGCATGGCCTTGGCCACCTGTACTTACTTAGCCCATCATCTAAAGCACATGAATGGATGGGGGCTCTTAGAAATCTGCAAGTAGAAGTGTAAGAGCTAGTAGTGTTGTGGGGGTTCATAAACTTTAATCTGCTGCTGAAGGGCATGTGAATCATCTCAACTATCCTTTCCCACATGTCTGGTGGAATCCATAAGGCCACACCTAGTGGTACTTTCACTTTCTTGTCATTCCAAAAATAGACCATGATTTCTTCATCCTCTGAGGCTATTGAAAAGAAAAAGGTAAGATACCATTAGACAGTACTGCTCTGGTTGGGAAAATACTAGTTTCTTGACTGGTCTTAGCACTTTAATACACGTTTTCTACCTTTGTCCAAGAGCAGGAACACCCTCCTGTTCTAACACCTCCTCATCATATACTGTACAATATGAAGGCTGCTATTGAATTTGCCATTGTTATCACAGACCTGGCAGAAGTTTTCCTGCAAATCTGTCCCCATGTGAAAGACACAAGTGGTAATTGTCTGGTAATTTTGGTATTGCAGCCAAATTGGGCCGTGATAATCCAATGACATTTTACCAGTATTTTGATAAGCAAACAGGGCCAAATTGTCAAACATGGGTGGATTATTAGTCTATCTAAATTCCACATGTGGGTGCTCAGATCAGCACTTGGATATATAAATAACCCAGTGCCGATCTGAGCATTCTAACGGGCGCCATCTTCTTAACACTACCCCCATGGGGTTTCCCTATGAATCAGATAATGGAACACATTATCCTTTCCCCAATGGCTGGTGCCCTTGTTTCAGTAAGAAGTTAAATTGAATAACTGCTAAAAGACTAGATGTAGTGGATAGCAAAGGTGCAAATTTAAAAAGTCACTGTTTTCTTAATAAAAGGTAGAGCAATCTAGAAGTTAACTCTCACACTCAAGGTATTACTAAGGAGCACTTTCTAGGGATCCGTTACTAGTTCCCACTACATCCCTTGGTATAAATTTTTAAAATAAACATTGCAAGTTGTACTGATGCTTCTGCTGCAATTGCAATATCAAAAACAGTGTTCATTCTTACCACTTCAGGGGATCCCTTCTTACCTCTCAGGGGATCCCGTGTCTCAATGCCCAGGAGGATGGTTCCAGGGCCATATCTGACAAGGTCTGGTTCCCAGGGTGCCAGCACTTTGTCTCCAGGGAGTATGGAGTGCCTCATTCTGTTGACATATTCAAGGATGTCATCCCTGGCTGTTTTTTGCACACATACTGAATACTTGTCACCCGATGCAGGTGGTTTGTCAAACTCTACCAGGAAAGTTCCTCTTTCGCCCTGTTACCAGGAACAAAACAATTATGAGGAAGCCCACCCTGTATACATAATATAAGGCCTTGTACTGCAGTCAGCAGTCCCTTCCATGGCAGCTTAGACTAGGCCTGAACTCTAGGACAGTAGGAATGGTGACAGTAAGCAGCACGTGCTGTGTTAGTCTCTCATCTAGAGAACTGGAAAGAACTACAGGGGGATGTTTGTGTTCAGCAGCCTTGGTAAAATACCCCTGTGCATATACGACAACTAAGACCTGTATTTTCTCCCCTGCAAAAGACACTACAGGCCTGAGATTCCATGCCCAGCTGTAATTCATGGGATGCTGCCAATTTCACAAACTACCCTGTACATAGATGGTGACAAAGTACCCAAAGGCAGTTCAGAACTGTTCTCTATTCACTCATGAATCCTTTCCTGTTACATACTGGGTAACCAGGCATTTTATCTTTTAGAAAACAGTTAAGGAGCTTTGCATCAGCAAGTGAAGCAAGCCACTCCCCTGCTCTTCAGAAAGAATAGGCCCTTTTTTCTTTAAAGTTTTAAGTGCTAACAACTTAATGAATTAAAGCATTCACTAGTGTCTCTGAAAAGACATGCTGTGCCTTGGTTTGCAGGGGAATAAAGCCCTAAGTGTATCCATAACACACTAACAGTTTTCCAACAGTATTGATGTTTATCTGTCTATTCACAACAGTAGGTGTGGCACGGGCCATAACACCACAAAATTAATCTAAACGTGGCTCAATGCCCAGCACGACTGGCTCAGAAACAAAGAGCCTGTCCCTGCAAGGTGCTGAGAGCCCTGAGTCGCAGCAGGAGCCAAGGCTTCTTGCAACTTTGCAGGATGGGCCCAACTGGGGCAAAACGACCTTCCAAAAAAACATCAGCGCTGGTGGAAGAATGGGACGCCAAAGCGTTACAGTAGCATAGCGTCACAGCAGGAGCTTCCCTAAAGAGATCAGTCTGGTAGTCCCTATCGGACAAGCAGCTGCCTTGTTTTCTGAATAATGGGCATATCCCGACTTTCCACAAGCCAACAGTCCCTTTTGCAGACTAGAATAGCTGCCAGAAAGTCCGACATCAGGAAGAGAAGGCCCAGCAAAGGAGGCATAGAGGCTGCATACAGGTGTCATCTCAGCCCATACCTTTGTTATCCGGAGCAGACTCATACAGTATGCTCTTAATCAATAGGTACAGTAGGATGGGCTGGACCACTGGACACTACTGCCCGTATACATGGTCTTTAATCCACTGGAGCTATATAATCACAAATGCAGATGCTCTGGTTGTGACTTGCCTCCTGACTTCATGCAACAGCCTACATCAGAACCGACAGAAATGATGCACAGACCCCACTGCACAGCTGATCTGCCTTTGCACCCCCCCACCCAGTTCCACCCATAGCAGGGGTTCAAGTGGTGGAGAGATGCTACTGGGGGGCATTCTGCAATCCATGAATTTGACCCTTTGTGAATCTCTTCTGGGAGAGTCCAGGGTCTGATCCATGTGACTTCCTACAATGAACAGATCTCACTGTAATGGGGGCACACAGTAAATTAAGAATAGCTATACAAGATAGGTGAGCCAATAATCACTTGCCTCTATCTCCTGTTTTATCGTACCAAGATAATAAAACCCATCAGATTCCCTTCTTGCTAGAACAGGAACATGAGCAATGTCCACTGATTTTTCCCACACCTTCAGCCCCTTACATGCTGTGTCAGGGAAATGTGGACAGTGGCCGATCCATGAGCACCTTGAATAAAAAGAAAAGGGTTAGTGGTGAGAGCAAACGGCTTCCATAAGTCAAACGAAGACAATCTATTAACCTTCAAGGGTCAGATCCCGGGCCCTGGTGGACCTGTTTTGTTCCACCCCTATGGTGTAAAGCAGGCATAAGGAGCTGGCTGAGGATTTGCCTGTGCAGGAGATTCCCTTGCTTGCATAACTCAAGCAGCTCCTCTCAGCCTCACACCACTGTGCGGGAGGGTGTTTGGAAGGATCACACTGTGATCCTAGTTTGGTATAACCTACAGCAGTAGTTGCTCTAACTTATGCTCTAACAAACTAGCCTCTAACTGCCCTTAACATCAGGTTAACAAGAGGTGTCCCAAGTTCCCTTGAAGCATTCCCCTGTGATATCCAGACCCTGTACTGGCTACTCTCAGAAATCCCAGCTCCTTTGCCCTCAAAGGAGCAGTGTGCCCCAGTTTACCACTTTTACCCTAAATCACTTTTGTATAAAGTACTGCATTTAAATAAACCTTCTTTTGTTTTATCATAAGAAAGAAGAGAGACTCCACTAGAAAAAAGAGACAGTAATGGAAACATCCAGTTACAATAGAAAACAAATCATAAAATGCAAACTAGGGCCTACAGTTTATTAATAGTTACTTTTCCTAGCTAACAAAGCACCCCACCCCCAGTTCAGTCTGTTGCAGAGTTGGCTGGCATCACAGGAACCAGGATCCAATTTTTCATAAAACCTGCCCCCCATTCAACAACATGTCTCCTCAATGAATGGATACAAGGAGTCTTTTTCCATCATGTGTTACACTGAATCAGTCTTTCGTATTTATTCACACACAGGGCATTGTCTGTTGTTATGGTCCTTTTCACCTCCAAGTGGTTTTGATTGTTTGCAGTTGTCTTTGATGGTTTTCCAATGACTGTTCTGGGACAGGGCATTATATCACCAGCTGAGCAGGGAGGGATGACAACTCCCTCCCACTCGAGTGGGCTATCACCCAATCATACGATGTTTTCTGACCAACTTTAAGATGATACAACATAGTTTTCAATATAGTTAAATTATGCCTTAAATATTACCCGTACACACATCTCACAATGATTATGAGTATTATTAAGTTACAAGCTTTCAGTAGAGACCTTACATGCTACCTTTCATGGAAAAATACCACGAAAGGGATGTATTAAGTGTAGTGAGTTTGTCAGATCTGAGAAAGGAGTTGCTTGTAAAGAACAGCTGGCGCCAATGGGCCTGTCTCTTTAGTTTGTGGACTTACTTCATAGCTTGTTTTCAGTCGTCAACAGTGTTGCAGAAAATTTTAATCAGTAATGGTCTATAAAGCTGACAATGAAAAACATTGTGGCAATTCTCAAACTATCTTCAGTTTGCTAATTTGTCAAGATGGGTAGAGACGAAGTGAGAAAGCAAATGACAGACACAAGCAAGAACTTTTTATTACCTTTGTGGGATGAGAAGTCTGGTAACCCAAGCAGGATGCACCATGGAAGACCCACTAGAGAAGGGATCGATATTAGTTAGAAAGTTGCTGCATGAGAGTTTATCTAGTGCTGTCATTGCTCTGCAGTACTTGTGCTCTGTAAACAAGGATCTTCCTGGATTCTCCATTCCCCCATAAGCAGTTACCTACAAAATGGAACTGTGATAATTTTATATTTGATGTGAATAAACACAACGTACCAGGTTTTAAGCAAATATACACAGTAGTTAGATGATGATCACAATGACTTACATTTTCTAGTGGCTCCCAAAAGAGTTTTACATAAGAACATGAATCAAAACTTTGCCTACCACTGAAAATGCAGCCACTTCTGGTGTGAAATATAACAACTGTTTAACAGTGCAGAGCAACAGGAACTGAAGATTAAGGTACTCAGTTGAAATTACAGGGGGGATTTAGGTAGCTGGAATGTAATTCACCAGACTTGAATTTGGCCAGGAGAAGTCAGTGTGGTTAACACCCCTATACTATCCAAAACCCACTGATGTCAATAAGAGCCTTTCCATTGACTTCAAAGGACTTTGAATCAGACTTTTACAAAAGGTGATTGGCACCTTAGCAACATTAAATAAACTAGAAAAGTCTTCGGGAATTTCCTGTTTTAAATCAAGTCCTCCATAGATTAGTGCCCTCGAACACCACTGAGAGACTCATAGTTATGCCACCTCAGGAATCAACACCATCACCTGCTGCACCTGCATTCTTCCTAAAATGATTTCCATCTGTGTCCTGTCCCAACCCAATCCTACATATTTTATGAGCTATGACCAAAATCATAGCTGGAGCTGATATAGCTGAATGAGCTCGAAGACAGCTTTTGAATGTAGCACTAGATTAATGTTGCCTGTTACTTGTGTTATAGTGATGTATTTAAGGGGCAATCATTTGATCTTGCAGCTGTTCTGTCATGTTTTATGATGAAAGGTTATGCTTTTAGCAAGAGAAGGAAATCATGGCTCACATTTGACAAGTGAAGAGATAACTATTCTGTGGCTGTCAAGTTAAGATTTACAATGCTATAGCTACCTTGTAACCTGGGTAAGATTTAGCAGGACATTTCTATTCTAACTAGATTTTTTATATTACTTTAAAATATTTATACATGGGGTAAAATTTTCTAACTGAAAGACAATTGGACTATGCTCCTAAATTACATTTGCAAATGGAATTTAGGCTCCTATGTTATTTAGCTGCATTTGAAAAATGTTACCTGTGGATTTTACTCTCTCATTTTCTCTGGTATAAAAGACTATCATCTGGCTGCTCTTTTGATAAATATGGTCAGATTTCAGCAAATTCTTATTTAACAAACCAGTGTTTTATATAAACTCCCAACTAGATCATAAATTGCAACAGGATCACAGATTGCAACAATTATTGTAATAATCTCTGCAAAACTTGTGTCTGCAAATAAGCAAATAATGTCAAGGATATTGATTACTTTACAAGCATACTGATTCTTACACATAAATATTAATGAAAAAATTAATGTAATGTAAAGCTAGACTTTGTATTGATGTTCAAATTAATTTTATTTTTAACTTAACATTAAAAAAATTTTTTGCAGTGAATTTAGTGCTGGGGAAAGATATTGGCCAGACAGCCCTGAGGAGCAAAGTCCCTTCTTATCCACAGAACAGATACAGCATGGGCAGAGGAGAGCAAAGACACAGGTGACTTGTATAAAATTATATTATTTTAATTTTTAAAATACTGAGCAGCTTCAATTACTTAGATACAGTGGTTCTGGAAACTGAATATATTGAACTTACCAGATATTGAGAGTGCCCAATCTTGTCGTCCCACACCTGGCCTGACTTCAGAAATCCTGCCCTTTTGCCTGTTCAGTGTGAAAAGTCATTTGTTGCTAGTGTTTTCCAGTTACTAAGCTGGTTGCCATAGATTCATTACCAACAGGAAGTGACTGTGTTGAAGAAAGCCACGCATGCACGTACATGAGTGTTTCAGCCAACAGCCAAAGGAACGGTAGTCCCATAGATGATCATCTAACACATATCCATTCTATTTTAAATGTGACAGACATAATCCATTCGATCAAAGTATCAGTTACCGTGGTGGGGTCATAGTGTAGGAATGCATTGTGCATATACAGTCTATTTTGCACCCTTGAATGACCAAACACAATTTTATTGACCAAGACAGGGTCATATGAACCTGTGGGATTAAAATAAAAATGCCTATATGAGGTAACAAAAGTGCTGCAGTGCAGTTAGGGCAAAAGGGAAGTGGTTGAGCTGGTGTCACATCACTTTACAAACATTAAGTCATTAAGCCTCACATCCATCTACTAGGTAGATAATAATACAGTATGCTGTGTATTACAGTAACACCTCAATGCCCCAAAGAAGATCAGAGCCCCATCGTGGTAGGCACTGTATAAACAGTAAGAGGGAGTTCCAACCCCTAAGAGCTCACAGTCTAGACTAGACAGATAAGGGGTCAGAGGAGACACAGATAGGTGAAGTGATTTATTTTTATTTGTATTGCAGTAGCACCCGCCTCATTGTGCTAGGCAGTGTACAAAAACTTAACAGAGACAGCCACTGCCCCACAGAGCTTCCAGTCTGACTTTCCTAAGGTCACTCAGCAGGTCAATGTCAGAGCCTGGAACATAACCCTGATTTCCTGAGTTCCAGTCAAGGGGCCACCCACTGGACAATACTGCCTCCCTCCCATTTTCAGGTGAGTAAACAGAGATTTCTTAACCTGGAATAAGATCTAGGAGTCTTCCTGATTGTTGATCCCTGCTCTGACCTCTAGATCTGTCTCCTCTTCCATAACATTAATGAATTGTTGCAAAGGCATTTCATTGCTCCTCTGCTGGGTTTTTTTACATTCATCCGCTACACATATGAAATCCAGTACTTAATTTGTTCCAGGGCTGAGCCCCGGCACCTCTAGGCTTGGCAGTTCATAGCCCTGGCACCTCTGGGTTTGCTGCATGAATTATGAATGTAAAAAAATTGCTCGAGCCCCGGCACCTCTTTCACTACAAATTAAGCACGGATGAAATCTCATTGCCAGCTAGTGAAACAAGATCTACTTTCGAGCTGTTTCATCAGAATTGTATTTCATAGTCTTTTAACCAGATGATTGTCCTAAGGAAATGAATTTAAAACAAGTGGATGACTAGCAGAATTACTTCTGATCCCTATTGTCTTGGAAAATAGCTTGGAAATATAGTGTCCAAAAGCTTGGAAAATAGTCATGCTGTCTTCCTCCTCCTGAGAGGAACTCAGGCATGAAGTCATGGGGGCTCCAATGTTTTGAAAATCAGGCCACTTACTCAGAAACCTGAATGTGGACTTGAAGATCCTATTTTTGAAACTCTTGGGCTTAAAGCTTTGTTTTCACTCAGAAAAGAGCAAAGATAAGCTTGGTCATGACCAGGTCCAGTGTGGGCTGTAGCAGCAACAAAGCTTTTAAGCCTTCAAAAACAACAGTGGAGATTTCAAGATTTCAAGTAGAATGGAGAGAGCTACGTGTGCACTAGAGACCTGCCTCACACGTAAAGGGATAGTACTGCAAATAGTGATTAGTAGACTAATGTTCCTTTTCTGTGCCATGGTAAAACTAGCTTTTTGCTTCCATAAACCCAGTAGCGTACAGATGACTGCTGGGCCTCAAGGAAAAGCCACATCTGGTTTAGATTATCAGGTGCTAATGACTTTTTCCTCAGTACTTTGCTGCACCCATGTTGCAGTGGCTCTCATTATGGTATGTGGAGAGCCTTTTTATTGAATATCAATAAAATAGGACTGTAAATAATATAGCACCTTTCAACCCAAGGGATGTCAAAGCTCTTTGCAAACTATGGGCTAAATCTTCCTCATCACTCTCATGTGAGTAGGCCCTAACTAGAAAACTTTGCTGAAAATACAGCTAGCTGCAGCTAGCTGTGGGGTGAAATGGAGCAGCTATTTAAGAGTGCAGAGCAACAATTTAGGACATGAAGTGAAGAAAACATTATCCCAGTGAAAGTGCAGCGGCATACAGGCTTACATGATGTCATTCCCCAGCGCCAGATTCTGCCACCCCTCCTCTGAGTAGTATCTTACTATGTCAGTAAGTAAATCCATATTCAGTGATTTTCAACAAGACGACTCATGAACTAAGCTCATTGACAGCATGGGTGATGGAATCCAGCTCACAGATTGGAGTTTGGCCAGGAAAAAAGGGGTTTAAAACCACAGTAAGACTTCCAGGTTTCAAGTACAAAAAAGAATGGGTTAACAAAAGGATAGAGCTGCATTTCCAAAAATGCTGCATTTTTCCACATTCAGGTAACTATTTTGAAAAGTGTTTTTACCCCTTTTTAATAAATAATAATAATTCACTTTTATAGTGCTTTATATGAGTAGATCTCAAAGTATTTCAAAAGGTCACTATCCTCATTTTACAGTTGGGGAAACTGAGGCACATGGGGGACACTGACTTGCTGAAGTTCACCCAGCGTGCCTGTGGCAAAACTGGAGTCCCAGGCTATAGCCACTAGACCAATACACAAGCAACTTTAAAAGAAAAATTGGGGAGGTGTGAAAATGAGCAGGAAATGAAACATCCCTGAAAACAAACAGAAGCTGAGCCCCATCAATGAGAAGGTTACACTTTATTTAAAATATGCAGACTGAAATGGCATATATATTTGCTCCTTTCTGAAAAATGAAACGTAGTCCTACTTTCGGTTTCCAACTAACAAAGTTAAAGGATTTTTTTCTAATTTCCATGAATTAACTAAAATAGTTTACATTTCATTTTCTTGTAGATTAGTATTTCTCATCTCAATGTAATTCCCTGTAGCTTAATTTAAACTCTTTTCCCAGTAGACTGGTAGGGATGTGTGCTTTGTACAGTTCATAAAATGTGTCAGTTTCACAGAATTATTTGTGTCACCAATAATGTGATTGTTATTAGCCTCAGCTGTGATTATTTTTCTTCCCTGGAGCAGTTCAGATAGTCCTCAAAACTGGATCTCTCTGGCCATTGCCTTGGAAGTATGGCCCAGTTCCAGGTTATTCTTCTCTGTCACTGCAGAATCACTGCACAGAACGGATTGTAGATGGTGAATGTATTTTATTGCAGCTCGAAGTGTTTCTACTTTGCTGAGCCGTTTCTCTAAGTATTCCTCAGGCAGATGACGTCGGAGTTTGGCGTATCCTTCGTTGACACACTTAACCCTCTGCCTTTCCCTTTCATTCCTTTTTCTGATGAAAGCTGGTCCGTAAGAACAGTCACCTCTGCCATAATTAGCCTGGGCCACTTGGTAAGGAAAGTTGCAAGGATCCATGTAGAAGTTCTCTGTGATCAACTGCTCGGATGTAAAAGGAAGTAGTGGCAAATCCTCAGAGCAAGTGAACTGGGTCGGTGTCTCAGGGTACACATGAAACGTGACAAAAGGGTCCCCACTGAAAGGCCTAGTCACTTGTACATGTTGTGAGTCGTAGATGGACAACGTGTCCATGAAGTTACAGTAGCTTTTACTATCCATTGGGTTTTGTGTTTAACCTGAAAATGTATATTTGCACATTAACTGAATGATTCATACACTACAACTACTTAAATGAGTTAAGTTCTATTACTGACATAGACAGTAAACTATTAGGGGCAGGGATTGTCTTTTTGTTCTGTGTTTGTACAGCGCCTCACACAATGGGGTCTTGATCCATGACTAGGGCTCATGGGTGCTACAATAATACAAATTATAAATAATAATTTTCCAGAAGGAGGGATTTTAATGCATTTCTGATATTATCAAATGATGTGGGAGGTTGTCACATGGTATGTAATGATGTCCTAACTGAATAGCATCCTTCACATACACACAAAAGTGCATAATCACCAGCATACGCTATAGAAATTTACTAAGCATTGACTAAAGATAAAGTAATCCCTTCCGCCTCCTAAAGGAAACCACAGTTAAGCTACACTGAGAGCTCAAATTTACTTGGCATTTGTAATACCAGATCCTCTTCATTTCAAAACATATGTCCAGCTCAGTCTGAAATTGACAAAAAATACTTATTGCTGGCATTATATAAAATAAAACTGGCTGAATTTTTGTTCCTTCCTCCTGTGCCTCTAGTGACCTCAATCTCCTTCAATTCCCTCTTCAACCCTCACCACTTTCAGTTAGCATTCTGCCACTCAGAGAGACACAGGCACTGCCATATACCCATCACACATTGGCAAAGTAAACAGCCTCTCCATCCCATCATTCCCTCCAAAAACCATTACAACTCAAGTGCCTGTAACCTTCACTGAGCCAAACAACACATTCATTAAGAATTTTAAACTCTCCCCTTATTTTGTCTTTTCACCGACATGTTTGATGTTTTCACTCACTGTATTATGTTGCAATTAGATTGAAAACTCCTTTGTGCAGGGACCTCAATCTTATCTTTATGTCTGTAAAGTGACACACTGGTTCCACAGGTCTCCTCTGAAGGGGATTCCTTATGGATTCTTGTACCCAGGATTGTTTTGCAGAGTCCGTCCCCCACCCCTCCACCTCCCATTGAGACGGGATTATTTGAGGATCATTTTAATAGCCAGTATTAAACAATGCTAATGAAAGTTGTTCAGATTACATTCCAGCTGTACAAACATTTTGTTTGCTTGTTAGTTTTATTAGGGAGAGGGGTTTCTACATGGTAAAAGTGGCAAAGAGTCCTGTGGCACCTTATAGACTAACAGACGTATTGGAGCATAAGCTTTCATGGGTGAATACCCACTTCGTCGGATGCCGCTTTTATAGATCCAGACTAACACGGCTAGCCCTCTGATACTTGTCTACATGGTAAGTGAATGAACTTCCCTTTGGAGTATTGCATGGAGCCGCACTTGCTTTAATTCATGATGGCCCATTAGAGGACCACATACTCTCGCTACACCTGCCTGACAGCAGATATGACAGAACCAATTGTCCAGGATTTGTATTTAACCATTAAAATCACACTTGGAAGTTTGAGAGAGACAGTAAAATCGTCTCTCTAATACGAAGTTATATTGTACTTCTATGGGATTGTCAAGACACTATAAGAGTAGTTTAACCTCAGCCCTCCAGTAAGGTTTTTGTAACAAAGCTACCCTTTAAAAATAACGTAGCTGCAACTTCATAAGACCACTATTGGTTTTCAGTGACTGTGTGCAATCCTTGCCTGTATAGAGACCAGCCTGATTTCCTTTTGCTACCATCCATCCCCATGTCATCAAGGTGGCACCATCTAAAGTAGTCAGGTTCCTTTATGCCCTCTAAGGGAGAAGAGGGAGGAGAACTAAAAAGCATTACTGGAAATGCCCTACTTCCATCGCTCATTAAAAATAAAATTGCCAAGCACTAGGTGTTCAGTGTGTACACAGAAGGATGTCTGCTACCTGACAGAGGGAATGCCACCATTGATTCAACTCCTTCACAAAGATTTGGGGCTATTTTAGCAGATTTTCCAATACTTTCATACCCTCCATACTCAAAAGGGAGGGAATTGTGTGACCAAAGTTTGAGCCTATCTTCAGATCCCAAGTGCACATTATTCCCATGTGTAAAGTCATGTTCAGTCAAAATATTTGTGTATCCAATCTCAAATTCTGTTTTAATTCAGTTTTGATTTTACTAAAAACTTTCACTGAATTGAGAATCCATATTCACCAAAAATTCTCCAAAAGAGAAAATCAAATATGTTCTAGAACAGATGCTTTCATAGGCTAGCTGCTAGCATAAACATGCACTGAACACACAAATTCATGTTCAGTTACAGAAGACAACTTAACTTGCTATACATGAGGGGAAATCTGAGGTGAACATATAGCTATTATAGATAAATTCAAAACAGCAAATGGTGATTGTTCCTTTTGTTAATATGAGAAGAAAATGAATTATTTTCTTTGATTATATTCTACTGACGTGTGAATGTGAAATATTACCATAAGATAAAATCTACATGAGCACTGTATAGCAAAAAACTGAAAAAATCAGAAATTCATAGCGTTGACTGGATGGCACTAACACTTTTGCTGCACACCAGGATTACACAAAACACTCTCTGCCGTCCTAATGTCCAAGACAAATACAAAACCAAAGATTGTTTCATTGCTATAGAGACTCACCTGTTCTGAGATGGAGAAAATTCTCAAGTAATCCAAGGAAACAGAATTTTCAGGCTGCTCAAAATGTCTGTAAAATATCAGAATTTTGTATGGAAAATTAAAAGTTTTAAAGTTAATATTTTCAATTCTGATCTGCCAGCGTAACTTATTTTATCAAACAATGTGTCATTCTAAATACACATTAAAATAGACTATTTGAAGTACTCATTAAATAGCTGACAAGTTATTTACAACAATTTTGATTTATAATTATTCAAGCCATAATGCTATATATTTTCAAAGACATATTGCTTTCTTTTACATCTCTTACCTGAACTATTGTTGTTCCAAAGCTGTTTTGTTGTGTCGAAGACTGGTGTAATTTATAGTCAATTGACAATATGCAAAGTAGCTTACACTTAGATCTGCTCTTTTCTGGTTTAGCTTTTTCCACCCACACTGTAGCTATAATGGCAACAAATATTAGAATTATGGGATAGAAAGTTTAAATGTATTAGATACAATTGAACTACCTTGGACAGTAATCAGTGACAAATTTTATTTACAGCCCTTGGATCCATATGCTATAGCAATTTGCTGTAATGAATGTCCTTTTCATTTAATTGAATTTTACACCCAAATATTTAAAAGAATAAAAACTAGTTAGCACTTCAGTTAGATTTTTATTGTTAAATACAGAAATCTCAATATATTTGAACAAGAGGATATATGAAATTGGTATCTGCCACTAGATTGATTTTATGGTAATGTCACAAGATAGGTCTTGCTTTGAGTAATCTTTAAACTGCTGCTTTGGTGTGCTAATTCCAAAATCTCAACACTGGGCCAGATTCTCAACCCTTCTCCACTCCTTTCCATTACTTGAGGAATAGAAACTGCCTGGATATCCTCTCTGGAGGATTCCCAGTAGCCATACAGATGGTGTGTGAGTTGCACACTCACTGGCTAATTTCCCTAATTTGTGAACAGTTCCTAGATTAGGGTCAGGGTGGAGCTGAGGCGAGAACTAGGGAACCCGAACACAGATTTTTAGCATCTTTACCAGCAAGTGCAACTTTAAGTGGGCAACTACTACCTATTAATTGTGCCAAATTAGTTTATAAAACTTTTACTAAGTATTATAGATAAGTTCTAACTAGAATTGAGTGTGTATAAATTAACTCATTTTGAAAGCCTCAATTCTATAGTCTAGTATTAGGAAGCTAGCCTTTTTTTAAATTTGGGACTCATTTACTAATCAGACCTTCTGTAGATCATAATACTGCAGAGTCTTTATTTTGAACACTTGAAATACAAAGTAAAATTAACAGGAGTACTTGTGGCACCTTAGAGATGAACAAATTTATTTGAGCATAAGCTTTCGTGGGCTAAAACCCACTTCATCGGATGCATGCAGTGGAAAATACAGTAGGAAGATTTTATATACACAGAGAACATGAAACAATGGGTGTTACCATACACACTATAACGAGATTGATCAGTTAAGGTGAGCTATTACCAGCAGGAGAGAAAAAAACCCTTTTGTAGTGATAATCAAGATAGGCCATTTCCAGCAGTTGTCAATCTTGATTATCACTACAAAAGGGTTTTTTTCTCTCCTGCTGGTAATAGCTCACCTTAACTGATCAATCTCGTTATAGTGTGTATGGTAACACCCATTGTTTCATGTTCTCTGTGTATATAAAATCTTCCTACTATATTTTCTACTGCATGCATCCGATGAAGTGGGTTTTAGCCCACGAAAGCTTATGCTCAAATAAATTTGCTAGTCTCTAAGGTGCCACAAGTCCTCCTGTTCTTTTTGCCGATACAGACTCACACGGCTGCTACTCTGAAAGTAAAATTAGTGAAAGCTAATCCACTACTCAGAGACAAATGCATTTGTCCTCCGTTTATCTCCCTAAAAATTCACTTCACCTGCTGATGGCTTGTGAGGGAAGGCAGGCAAGTAGCAGTGGCTTCTGCCACTGATGCTGTCTGAAGTGGTAGGCAATAGGCACCTTGCAACAAGGAACTGCAACTCTTTCTCCTCTGTGAATGTCAAGTGCATCATTGTCACCAGTCTGGATACTGTGTGTGTGTGTGTGTTGCATGGGGGGGTGGGGAGATGGTAGTTCCTGAACTTTGATTACTTGTACTGTCAGCCCACTGGTGTTAACCTTCAATTGGTTAGTGGCTACACCATGTTGCTGGGATTTGGGTTTTTTTTAAAATACCGCTTATGATTCTGCTAGTATTGAAGAGTTTCTGCTTTTGTGAAGTTAGTACTCGTGCTGAAACAACAAAAGACTGCCATGCTCTACTTATCTGTGAAGGGTAAGGGCAGTGCAAGCGTCCTTATATGGCCCTGCTAGTGTCTCAAATGCTAACATGGATGGACTAGCTCTAGGTGCAACAGCCAGTTTAAGCTTCTATGCCCATTCAGTCCTCCACCTTGCTGTTTAAAATGCCAAGAGAAGTGCCAGGCAATAATAAATGGGGATTTTATGTGAACTCTCACTAGAAATTGGACTGAGGCCAGCTCATTTTACACAGAACAGAGCCTTCGGATGGGTGATAACTTGCAGCCACTGCTGCCTGGGTCTGGATTTGAATCAGAGGTTTGAGGCACTCTGTATATTAGCAGTTTTCTGAGCTGTCCTTTCCATCACCCAAGCATTGAACATTTACAAACAATGCACATCATTTGTAATCTTAGGCACATTTGGCAAAATTATTTTAAATATGAAATTTACATGCAGTGTGATGAGGGAGAGAAATGATGAAATACAGATACTGCAAATAGGATTTTTCAAAAATCATGATAATCTTTAATTGTTCCATTCCAAAGAGGATATATGAAAGATAGTTATTCAGTAGCTGTATATCTTAGAGGGATGAGTACAGCATCACAGTTAAAAAATACACCTAACTCCCAAGATGACAGAAGATGCTGGAGAGTATATGCCTTATACCATCAACCCAGACAAATACAGAGTTTATTTTTTAAATATATACTTTATCATACACTAACTCCTGAGACTTTATCCATGAAGAGACAGGGAAGAGATCTGTAGGTAGCACATACAATATAATAAGTGATCAAAGCAAAAGAGTAAAGCGCTGTCTTAATATGCACTGCATTAGTTTATCTACATCACAGCACCTTAAGTGTGCAGCTTCTCACCAAAAGTCATTGTCCATTTAAGTTTTGCCTTAAGTTTGCAACAGTCAGCTGCTATACTAACATCTTCAAAGTAACAGTGCAAGAAACCAAACGATGAACACAACTGGCCAATGTCAGATAGGAAAACTACACAGCAAGATTTAGATTTCCAGAACATCGCATTAAACAAGGAGAAAAACCAAGAATATTTACAAAAAAGTTCACTGAGTAAAATGATTAGTGTGTTGTAACTGATCTTTTGTTACAGACTATGCTCTCTGGTGCTTTTTAAACCGTATGAGTTACATTTAAAAAATCTTAGTCATAATAAATAAGGTACCAGTTACATCCAAAGATACCTTAGAGTAAGTTATTTTTTTTAGTTTTATTAGTAAATGCCATTTAAAAAAATGTAAAGAATTATCTTTTGGCTAATTAACTTTGCTGTTTATTTTTGATAGCTTCCACTCCAGAACATTCTTACTAAGTTAACATTTTTTTGCTGCCCGTAACAAACCATTCAAAAGTGGTAGAATCAGGAAGACATAAGTCAGCTCTTTCCTTTAGTCCCTTTTACTTTCTTCTGGTCAACATTGAATTAGACATCAATTAACTGAGCACAACGTGACGGTCAAAGACAGATTTGCGCTGCTCTTGGACCTGTAGCTTCCAACGTTGCTGGGCGTACTCCACTTTGTTCAACACATTAGCACGACTCCGGGATCGAGCCAGCACATCGTGAGCATTTGCAAAAGGTTGGTGATCCTGCAATTGCAGAAAGTAGTATTTATATTTCAGCAATTTCACTGCGTAACTACTGCTAATTACAATATTCTTCTGGATAAAAGAAGTTGTTCAAACTTGCCAGGCAGCTTTGTGTGCAAAACAAGCTTTAGCTGAATAGAGACTGTACACTTCAACATTTTATAGAAAATAATTTCTGTGGATTTCTTATATAAAACAATTTAGTTTATGTTCTGCAGTAGCTTTCATATGATCAGTGTCTCAAGGTAATAAGTAATGATCATATGGAAGCTGATCCTACACCAGTGAAGTCAATGGGAATTTAGCCACTGAGTTCAATGGGAGTAGGCCCATGCTGACTTTGTAGGTAAGAGCACCACTACGTATTCAAAAGTAACATGCACACAGCTTTACATACATTAGCACCTGTTTGAACATGAAGCCTGAAATTGTTGACCAAGACACTTGGATGCTCCCATTTGTTTTCATGCTGGTACTTCAATTTAAAATTGAACTGAGGAGCCCGCGTCTTTGCTTAGCCAGCATGCTACCAGATTTTAACCTGTTACCGTAAAGCAATTTTGGATAGTTACACAAAGATGCCCTATAATACCAAAACACTGATGTTTACTGTCACTAAACCAAACCCACTGCTACATGTAAATACAGCTGTTTAAGTGACGAAGAGCTGAACAACTGAGTGTTTGTTTAGCATTTACGCTGTCCCTTTTCTAACAGTATCTGCAAAGCTGGATTTATTTACTGGAAAAATGTCCCAAGTTATAAACAAAGACATTTGGAACAGAACCTTTTATTTGGCTCCCAAAATGTTTTGGACAAAGAAAATTATGTTTTAAAAACTACATTGGAAAAGGTCACGTATATGATGTGTTTCAGATGAAAAACCACCATTATAAACGATGCACTGTGCTAACACAGCAAAGGAGATTCAATGTTGAAGCTTGTGTATTTCTATACCTTGCCTTGTTTTACTGCAAAAAAGTTTTCAGAAGTGGTTATTTTATTTGTGACATGATGTCGAGTACAGCAACTCCGTGATCAGCAATACACCTCTCCCTTAAATGGATTATTAATTATTTGTATTAAGGTAGTACCTCAGAGCCCCAGTCATAGACCAAGACCACACTGTGCTGGGCACTGTACAAAACACAGAACAAAAAGACATTCCCTGCCCCAAAGAGTTACAATCTAAGTATTAGACAAGAGACAGTAGGTAGACACAGATGGGCCAGTTGGGGAGCACAAGGAAGATTAGAAAATACTAGTTAGCATGATAGAGGGTCTCAGCACAGCAGTTTGTTAACTTCACTTTTTTGTAAACATAGCAAAGGAGAGTTTTATGGAGGAATTCAAAGGAGGACAGAGGAGGTGGCTTTGTAGACGTTCCCTGGAAGCACTTCCCATCCACTCCCAGCACAGGAGAAAGCACAAAAGTGCTCGTTCAAAAGTTTAGCAAGATGGAGATGAAGACTGGCCGACTGAAGGCAAGAGCTGACAGTTGATAGAGATGAGATCATAGGTATAGTGCAGGATAAGCTGCAAAGGGCCTTGAAAGTTAAGACAAGTAGTTTATGTTTGATGTGACAGAGAAGGGGGAGCCAGTGGAGGGATGAAAAGAGAGCGGCAACGTAGTCAAAGCCAGGAATGAGGAAAATTATCTTTGCAGCGTTCTGAAGGATATAAGCAGGACCATTTGTCAAGGCCAAAGAAGACGACATTGCAGTAGTTAAGACAGGAGATGAAAGCTTGGACAAGGGTTTTAGCTATGTGGATGGAGAAGTAAGGCCAGATTTTAGAAATGTTAATCAGGAAGAAGCTGCAAGATTCTGACATAAATCTAGGTTGGGACCTAGCTGAAGATGACACCCAGGTTACAAGTCTCAGGGAGAGCAAAGATGGAGGTGTTGCCTACAGTAATTATGGTGCAGAAAACTTCTTATTGTCTGTGGCCCATTTTGCATTTTTAAAACTCCTGAAATACGATTCTGCTTAAGAGTGCTAGTTGCAAAGGCACTCAGTGGTGCCTTAACTTTTACCACTGACTTTAACGGGAGCAGAGGTAGATTTATGCTGAGCACTTCTGAAAATCCCTCCCTGAAAGAAAATATTATTTTCTGTCCCAGACTTGCTGTGACATCTGCATAGATGGACTCCTTGGTCCATCCAAAACTCTGCTGACTTCAATGGAGTCTGACCACATAGAGGGCCATGCAGAATCAGGGCCTTAGATTCTAGCTCTGCATTACGTTATAACAGTCAAACTGCAGTAAACAAATACTAAACAGCTTTAGTATCTAACCTAGGTAGTCAGGCATATTTCAAACCCCACATACACAGCTGTGAAAGTTTCATACTGTCATAAATCATGGCATAAGTTACCAGACAGTTTTATACTACAATTAGGTATGCCACAACGCTCATACGAAGTATTTTTTTCATATTAAATGTTGCT